TTTTAATAACAGACACCTATTATAAAAATTCCTGAAATAGATTAAATTTTTATTGTTATTAAAATTGAATTTATAACTTTTGTATAAAAGTATTAAATATTTACTAATATATTATGGTTTTCTTAAAATCTAAAAAAATATTATGAATAACATAAAATAATATAAATACATATTATTTATAAAAGAAATCCAATAATAGGAATATAATAGTTTAAACTATATATATTTTTGTATTATTATAAAAGAAATTTTAATTAATCATATAATTCTAAATTAAATATAATTTTCAATTATTTATTATATGTTACTTAATACTCAAATTCAATTTCATCATATGTATAGTTTAAACTATATTACTTTAAAATATTGGAACTTTTTCCAAGACATCTACATTATATAACACAATTCATATAATATGTAATATGAATTTCAAAGATATTTAATATTATTTTGATATGATTTCTTAAGTATCAATAGTTTTTATATTGTATTAGAATAATTAAAATGAAATATTAATTTCATTTATTTATAATATACACTATAGTGAAATTGTTTTGCTGAAATTTTTGGTTGGTTATATTAAAAAAATATTTCAAAAATTTCTAACTCACATTATATACAGTATATGTTATATTATTTTTTAAATATATGGATTAATCTATTATATAATATATATTTTGATATAATTCTAATTTCTTTAAACACAACCACGCGAAAACAAAATTGTATTAATGAGAGAGATATTTTTATAGCAATATGTTATCATTGTTATTACATATAACCTTGTTGACGTCGCGCATTGATGTTCCCTTTTCATCATTGTTAATAAGTTTTTCCTTTAGAATGCGATTACGAATAACTTTAACATTTTTATGTTCATTGTCAAATTCCATAGACACCAGCTTATTATTGTCGTTGATATCATGAGCCTTCAAAATCTCTTCTTTCTTGTTGTATTTTCCACGGTAATCCTTCTGGTTTTCGACATCATCTTGCATTAATATTTGCTGATTACACAGATCGTTCCTTTGCAGCATTACTTCGGGTCTTACGATATTGGTTGCATAATATGGAACCCACTCTTGACCTTGACTGAAATCCGGAATGGTCATTGAGCGCGTTGGCAGTTTTACGACTTCTCCTTGGTAGTATTCCTTGAAGTAATGATTTTTATAGAATTTCATCGTTTCTAACGCGAACATAAGCTCACTATGTGGTTCATAATAGGTATCATATCTAGATGAAAATTTAAGTTATTTATAAATTGACTTGAAAATATTTGGCACATTTTATACCCTACCCTTCACAGTCAACCCAACGTTTGTCTTCGTCCCTCAGCTCTCCGATTACAGCAACAAGCGTGCCGACTGTTAGCCTGGCGATATCAAATCGTTTAAGCAAAACAGGTTTTAGATTTATGTTTATTGTTCCAGTTGAGTCGTCTAAGATTTTGTTTAATAAAATTTGGTTATAGTAAAAACTTCAGTAAAAAGAATAGCTGATAAAAATAAATTTAATACCTATGACTATTCTTTGTTGGGCCAAATCTTTTTCGACTATAACTCCGTGCACCCTATTTGGAATAAGACCTAATTTTGAATTTCGACACTTACCTATGCGCGTTATGCGCACATACAACAGGAAGAGTAACTGACCTGACTTTTAGAAACCTAAGTGAAGTCCTTCCAAACATGAAAAAACCTTCTGATTTACTACTATATTTGTGTATGTCACGAAGAAAAAGTCTCACATGAACGTTATCCATTTTAAAATTCAAATAGTTCTACAAACGCGTTTTTTCAGACTTTATAATTTTCACCCAAACGCGATTTTAATTGGTAGATCAATCAATTATTATTACATACAGTAATTATTTTTTCAATCACATGATGATCGCGACATAGTAACGGGTGGCGTGTATGCACTACCGAAACTACTAAGAGTTTCGACGAAATGTGCAAGAATTGTTTCTTCTGTCACACTACCAACTGAATAAGGTTATCATACATATTTACTTTTTATTTTCATTCCTCATCTTCAAATTCTGTAGATATAAAATAGACAATGTCACTAGTTTGTTATAATATGAATCTATCACGCAATAAAAAAATTTTTTTTTTTTAAAAAAGCAAACATTAAATTTGTGAATTGAATAAATCTACGGTGACGAATTTTCCTTTTTTCTGTATTTACCATTTCCAGAACTTTAGTTATTTCGCTATCAACGTTCCTTTTTTGGTAAACACTACTTCCTAATTGCAACATCGTGTCAAAAATATACATATAGTATATATACTGTATTAGAGTATTAACAATAAGTTTATGCTTTCCATAATCCACCTATCAAGACAAACGATAACCTCGCAAGCTAACATTGTGACATTCTGAAGCGTATGATCACTCTAGCGACCTTTTTCATTAATCACGATCCCACGTGCCAATTCATTCTTACATTCCTTTAAAATAGCCTTAAATCAGCCGTGGAAAACAAAATTTTTTTAAGAAAATGCATATTGAAATCCGTGCCAACAGGAGGACGTTTAGCCACGATTTTTCGGCAACCTCTAGGGAATGAACGATTCATTTTTAACCAAAACTCGTAAATTGCTTTTCCAGCAAGATTAACAAAAGCTTCTACTATTGCCCTCTGTTCGTTTTGGTGAAAGAAAAGTCTTGATTCACTTCATTAGTAGTTCTAGTATTATGGTTGTTGATAGCCCCCCAAGGTCCATCACAGTGGACGAATATAATCGCGTTTTTTAAAAGATAGACAATTTAGAGGAGGAAGAGGAAGGTAGTTTTTTATCTTCAAATCAATCAAATATTATAATATGGGCTTATGATAGTCTAGATCTTGATACCAGGGGACAGACTTTGAGCAAGGCATTTAAAGTGGCGCTGAATGTATTCTTTATGTTTCTTTGATTACACCAGAACGTAACCACTTAGAAAACTTGCTTTCACCACGCGTAAAATTTGTGTTATTCACGTGAATACATTAATTTCCGGTTTTGGACAAGCGTAGAGCAAGACAAAACTTAGCATGTAAACATACCGTTTGCGCATAGCTACACTATAATTTATTATGTTTGTTAGTTGAGATTTTCTATACTATTTTATTTGAATTTTTATAATCCGATTTTTGTCTTGTACCATATATAATTTAATTTATTGTGGGTAAATCGGAATACAGTATTTATTCTCATTATTATCATTTTTTTTTTTTTTTTTTTTTTGCAAATGGGCATTGACATTTATTAAACTTTCGTTTTTTCGTCATTACATTAACACATTATTATCATTTTCTATTTTTTTTTTCTGTAATTTTTGAATCAAGATGTTTTTTTAAAACAATTTTTTGAAATTATAAAAACAAAATAATTTAATGATTATCTAATATTAATTTTTTTTTTAAAAAAAAAAAGGTAAAAACAATAATATTGTTTTTTTTAAAAAAAAAAAGGTGAAACAATAATATTTTATTTTCTACGGTATACGCTTTATTAAAGCATTATTATTATTATTATTAAATTATTGTGTTTATAATAAGAATTTTAAATTCATTAATAATAAATTTGTTATTAATAATTATATGATAGTTGTAATAATTATTTTTTATATTATACGTGTAATTTCTAAAATTAATATTTAAATAAAATAAAAGATATACTATAATTTTTATTAATAATGAATTGTTGAGATGATATCTACTATCAAACACGTAGATGTTTGTTCAACTGTACTTCACCCCCCCAAAAAAAACTACAAATTGGAGTAACCAATTTCTTTTTTTTTTTTGTTATGAAGCAGAAGCAAAAAAAGAGTAGAAATGAAACTATTATCGTTAGTCCATACTTTCAGAAATCGGTTGTCAGCCCGTATTTCCAAAACGTAAAGAAACCGGCCGAACGCGACGGTAATATTTCAAAATACTTCAAGTCCTCCAAGAAGAATGCAAATTCTCGAATTTCCATAAAGTCGGAGGAGAAGAAACAAGTTCCTTGGGAACGTCAGGAAGATGCAAATTCTTCGGCAAAGAATTCTGTTGTCTTTATTAATAATAAAAAACTCGTGTCCTTTGATATTGACGCGCTTGCAAGTATGAGGCCTGTCGTACACGTCCCAAAATTCATACCAATGCAGTCGCCATATAATCTGGTGCAAGAAACATTATATTATGATCCTTGGAAGGTATTTCTCATTTATCATCATTACCATCATTATTTTTGAAAGCGCGTTCTCAGTGAAAATACATTCATCTAGCTCCTTGTGGCAACGACGTTCCTGAACCGCACCAAAGGCACTCAGGCGCTTCCAATTATGTGGCAATTTTTGGAAGGGTATCCGACACCACAGAAGACAATCAAGGCCGATGCTACGGAAATAGCAGATTTACTACATCCCCTTGGATTGCAGTATGTAGGAATGGTTTTCATACGTTAGGCTAGGTCATATCATGAATAATTGTCTTTAACGGTGTAGTTCATTGGATAAATCCTATCTGCCGTATAATCGAAATTAGAAACATCCGTGCCGAACGATTAATCAAATTTTCACTCTCTTACCTGGCCAATCCTGATTTTTCTACCCCCAAAGAATTATTTGGAATGGGTCAATATGCGGAAGACAGTTGGCGTTTGTTCTGTGGCGAAAAAGATGATGCTTGGATGGAGGGTTCTGGTTGTGAACCCACAGATAAAATGTTAAGGATGTACATAATTTGGCGCAGAGTAGTGCACAGGGGGCTTTTGCACAATGACGATGATGACAGGCAATTGCCTCCGTTTCCAACAGTTGACGAGGATCAAATCGAGAACGATCGCTTCGAGGATGATGAGGCGTGTTAACTGCCATTCTTCCCCCTTTCATCTCGTTGTGAATTTTAAAAATAACAATTTTTATCATCTAGTGCTAATTGCAAGTCAGAGAATTTTGGTTGTTTTCCCTTTGCATCAATCTATAGTTACGAACTTTGCGATCAACAATAATTTTTTCACTCGCTGTATGCAAAGATTTTGCTTAAAACTTTTTGTTATCATCTCTCATAATTTAATAATCACCTTATCATCGAGCAATTTTCGTGAACCCACCATGGTAAAATACATGAAATTCAGTAAAGGTGAAAATGTGTTATATATATTAATTGAAATTAAAACCACATTTCAATCACATCATCAGGTATAATCAGGCTCCATCAATTTAAGTCGTAAATTGAATTTTCTACGTTCCCATCAGCCCGATAGTGTTATATAAAGTTATTTATAAAAATTCACGTGCAGCGCAGGGCTCTCGCCGAAAATTGTAAGGGGGGTATCATGCATAGGAATACATTATCATCACAAGTTTTTTTATGTCAATTTACATAAACAATTAACTTAGATAGCCTTCGGATTGCATATTCACATACAACGTCTTCACAATTAGAACAACTAATCTATTTATAGATACAATTATACTATTGTAATCGAACTTTATTCTCGATCATAGAAACTTTAAAATGTGCAAGTAATCGCGACAAGTTGAACAGTCGTTTACCAGAGCAGGCAGATTATCATCGTCATCATCAGCTTGAGCCGAACGGCGACGATTGTTTGATCCCCTACCATCGCCTTCTGACTCCTGGTCAAAATAACCGTACTTGAGATGTTTTTTTGGGATGGGGTCAACAGGCATTTCCCCCAAACCAGAATCACGGACGCTACTCTTTTTCTTTTTAAACTTTGTGTCTTTATTATCCTCTTCTCTTAAAGACTCATTAGCTTGAGGTTTCTTTTTGCTCTTACCCTTTTTCTCGTCATACTGTGTGGTTTGTTTACTTTGTCCTTTAACCTCTGGCTTTTCGACTGTTACTTCCTCTGCCTCATTTTTCGTTCGTGTCTTTTTCGTTTTATTGGCGGAATCCTCGGATGAGGGACTGCTGAAGATTGCAAAGAGTTTACGCATTTTCGATCCAAAGGTATGCGGGTGTCAGGAGTATTTACGTAAGAAAGCACTCTTCAAAGCCAAGGTGCATAAAAAACAGCAAGGGAGTAAAAATAGTAATACAGAAAAAGAAAGAAGAAGAGGACAAAAGAAAAAGTAGTAAGAAAGAACAATTCCCTGAACCACTGTCAAAGTTACCACGCATTATATAAAATATAAGCGGTATACAATAATTAATATACATAAGTTAATAATGGCGATAACCTAAAAATAGCACCACCGAAAAATTTAAAGTACTTTCATATGTGATCCTGCAATGTCCACAATAAATAACTATCACTAATTATCACCCCCTGAAAATTTTCCGAGTTCCGAAAAAAAGCAATCCCTTTTTTAAGATGTTCCTATCCATAAAAATACATGTATATAAGTTTTTCATTCTTTGGAAAAAAAAAAAAAAAAAAACGAAAAGAAAACTTTGTCGCCCGCCTGCTCTACTGGTAAACGACAGTTCAACTTGTCGCGATTACTTGCACATTTTAAAGTTTCTTATGATCGAGAATAAAGTTTGATATACAATAGTA